ATATAATTAAAAAGACATTTAATGGCTTTTCAGCTAAACTTAATGGCTGTTCAAAAAACATTTTATCCACCAACTATAAATTAACTATTATATAACTATTAAAGAGTTCATATGATGTTGCTAAAAAGAACATTATTTTGTGTATTTGATGTAATGAAATGTGTTTATGCGGTTTAAGGTTCAAAAAACACATTATTTTCCACATACTGTACATTATTGTTTCTCCTCTATGCCCCACCTTTCTGAAACGCGTCGATTTTTACAAAGCTCATCAGTCTGAAAAGCGAGGTGTGCTCTGATTGGCCAGCTATCCAGTGCGTTGTGATTGGCCGAATAGCTCAAGCATGTGACGGAAATGTTACGCCCCTACCATACTGTGATGCCCTGACCACAAAAACATTAAAACCCATTATAAACGAGGCATTTGTTGCATCCAGTGGGGACATAATTACGGATTATAATGATACTGTCTTTTTATGTGTTGCATCACGCCGCGTAAACATAAAACCATGTCTGCATTTGTGATCGGAGAAATGACAAACAACAAGCGCTACTCTACACTGCTCAAAACTCGCATTTGAATCATCAGTGGCAAATCTTTTACACATCTGAATAATTGGGTTGAACTGTTCTGGAACAGTGTTGTAAATACAACTTAAACACTGATTTCTAGTCGTGTCCTCTTTTGGAAGGCCAAACAAAGTAGTTTCGCTTTCACAACGAAACACACAGCGTCACACGCGAATGCCTTGAGTGAGCGGCGGCGGGCGGGCTTGAGAACGGCGTGGCCTGCGAATTCAACGAAGGAGCGTCCGGCGGGCTTGCAGCAACCACATGTGACAACCCCGGGCTATGGCGTTATTTTAATGACAAATGTCGAGAGCGCATTATTGTAGTATTAATATAATGCGTGCGCGCGGATTTCTTTTGCTCTCGAGTCCAATCCACTTCGAGTGTAAACTAAACGAGCCAATGCACATTGGCATGCGATTATTTCATCCAGCTGCTGCTGATCACAGCATGAGTATAAGTAGGCAGCAGATGCAGCGCATATTCAGCTTTTCGCTTCGGAGCCGAGCGGTTCTATCGTTCTGCTCCTGACCTTCTGCTAAGAGTAAAGCTACAGTCAAGCACGCTCTTTGTGGGCTCTCGTGCTGGTGGACGGCGCTTCATCGGTGGAGGTTTTTCCGTGTCGAGTGGGCTGCACACAACAGGCTGCACTACCTCGTGTGTGTTGCAGATGGCCATCACCCCTGTGCACTTCAGCACACTAAAAGAGCAATTTCCATCTAAAAGAGCTTCACGGGTGGAACGTCTTTTT